GGTCTCCTCCTGCCAAAGGAGAGTCAGGGAGGCTGACTGTGGGGCAAAGGGGCAGTGCCCAGCTGGTTCTCTACAGCACCCAGCCCCTGAAGACTGCCCAGGGTGAATGGGACTCCCAGATCTGGGGCTGACTGCAGCAGAGTGGGATTGGAACTGGAGTTTCCTGTCACTTCTCAGCTTTTTAGCTAACACCCAGGTCCTATCTGAGTGGGGTGAGGCTCACAGAGCCCAGATCTTGGCAGGATTTCCATCAAGGGAGCTGCAGCCGTGGAAGGCTTTGGGCCTCCTCCACCAGCTCCTGCTCCAGGTCGTGGGGGCTGTGTCCATCCTGGTGACCAGCACCGGTAAGTGGAAGTGTCTGCAGCCTTTGTGGAAGCTGGGGGTAGGAGGGAGCCAGAGTCCTCATCTGGGGACTGCAGACCTTGGTGCAGAGCTCTGAGCCGAGCTGCAGCGTCTCTAGTGACTTCCATGGCAAAGGGGCCGAGTCAAAAGGATGTGGCTGGGGGTTCAGCTGGGAGTGACCCTCAATTCCCATCAAGCCATACCAGGGTGCAGTCACATCTGGGTTGGGAGCAGGATGGGGAGTCATGTCTGAGTCAGGCTGGCTCTGCAGAGCAATGGCAGGACCTCCCTCCCCCTGCAGCAGGGCTGACCATGGCGTCTTGGCTGAGCAAGGCCCAAGTGACGAAGCAGCTTCTACTGGCAAGAAAAATCTGTGAGTCCTGTTGTGTGAATGGTTCACAGGATGAATCCAGGAATTAAAACATGAAAGCCCCGTAGCAGAAACATCTTCCCCTGCAGTGCATGGTCCGTCTGAGGTCTTTGCACTGAGCAAGTTGCTGTAGTGTTTTTCTGTGCCCCCAAAATAGTGAAAACTAAAACCTGGCAATTCCTGAGGGGAGCCTCATGTCCGAGGCTGAGAGCCGCTGTGACAGGGATCAGAGACAGAGGAGAGTGGGGAGAGAATAAACATGCACCTCTGGCAGCTTGGGGCTATTTCAGTACATGAGCTCTTGGTTTTCTGTCATCCCATCCTGTACGGAGGCTTCTCTCTGGGGCAGGCCTGGGGCTGGGGTGAGGCACACAGAAGGGCAGTATGTGTTGTGGGGTCTAGAGCTGTCTCTGAGCAGCACACCTGTCCCATCATGTGTCACCCTGGTGAGGCTTGTTCTCAGTCTCCTGCTGGCTGTGGCCCAGCCACATCCTGTTCCCACACGGGGAATATCACCCAGGGTCCCAGAGTGCCAGGAAGGTGCCTGTCTGCTGGCAGCAGGGTCCTGCTGCTGTAGCTGTCCCGGACACCCGGGTTGTATTCTAGCAGTGGCCAGGGAACAGGTTTTTTGCATTTTCATTGGTTTGTTCCCTGGCCTTTTGGCTAGGAGCAAGCGGAACAAGGAGGCATCCGAACTCTACGGTCCTTGGGCCCTGGACTTGCACATGGAATGCCAGCCACAGATTTGGGGAGTATCTGAAGGTGCAGACTGATGGGCCTGGGAAGAAGGATACTTACCCCAGGGTGGAGCCACACAGATGTGAATGATTGAGCTCTGCTCAGTCAGAATTTGGAGCTTAATTAGCTATTGGGCTTTGCCCGCTTGAATTTGAAACTGGTTTGGCCCTCGAACCAAAAATAAAAAACAAAACAGGCGAGCAGGGTCAGCGGGGTTGGCATAGGAAGCTGGGACACCTGGCTTCTCTCCCAGCTCTGAGCATGGTGCGGGGCCTGGTGGGGCCGGCAGGGAAACAGGACACCCGGAAGGAAGTGGTTGTTGTTGGTCAGAGCAGACTGGGGAGTAGGAGCCAGGGAAGGAGAAATAAAATATAGTTCCCAGAAGTAATGCAAGCTGGAGAGCGGCTTGTGTAGACAAAGGAATTGCAGCCTATGTTGTCACCATTGGCAGCCCCTGTGTGGAGCTGGGGGAGGGGGGCCATCTTCTGCTGGAGCCCTGGGGGAGGATGGCTGTGGCTGTCTGAGGGGCACCACCTGACCCTCCACAGTCCCCAACCCCTGGTGGGGCTGAGCTGCATAGTGGGGCAGGCCCTGGCAGCTGGTCCTGAGGCACCAGGGCAGAGCTTGTGGGGAGGGTCAGGGCATGCAAGGAAGCTGTGGGGCAGAGGAGCAGGGCTGCAGGAAGGGGCGTGGATGAGATGCACAGTGATGTTGATACACGTGACATGGAAGGGTGCCAGGACATGTCAATTTTCATGCTCCGGCAGACTTGAATAATTGAGTCTGGTCCGACGTGCTGGAAATCCAGCACATCAGAGCAAACCGCATGCACATGTTCAGGAGCCCTATCTGTCTCCAGGAATGTGGCTTACCCACTCAAAGGAACAGCCGTTTGACCACATGGCCCAGCCATGTCCAGCCGATGGGATGACAGCAGGCTGCTGGTGTTGCAATGCTCCTGAAAGGGGACACCATGCGCTCCCTGCAGCACAGAGAAATAACTGCAGGCAGACTGCTACAAGCCACTTTGCAAACTCATAGGGGCTCCTTTAAAGTACTGAATGTGTACGTGCCAGCCAACAAAGAGGTGAGGCGCACATTCCTGGAGAATATGGCAATAATAATGCTGACTGTCCAACCAGTAATGCTCACTGGGGATTTCAATTGCATCAGGACATGGGTCAAACCGGGATAAGGGGAACTTTTGACTGAGCACCCCCCTGGTGTTCTGGATGCCAGACTCCACCGGAGCATCAGCTGCTTGGTGCCCGGTGTGCAGAGGAGGCCTCGGCTGGGCAGGGGCAGCCCCAGATTCTCTGACATTTTGCACTGGCCCCATGTCCCATGGATAGAACTTTCTTTCCTCCTTCCCCTTTGTTTTGGGGTAGGGTGGGGGTAGGGCAGGGAGGGGAGAGTTTAAGCATGTAAGAGCTTCTTTAGAGAATAAATGTGCACAGCCTGGGGCAGCTTGCAGGACAGCTTGGGGCTCTGCGCTTTTGGTTTTGTCCCCCCATCCTGTTTGGAGCTGTCTCTCAGGGACGGGGCTGGGATGAGGCACACAGCAGGGCTGGGGGCAATGGGAGGTGTTGGTGGCTGGAGTTGTCTCTAGGCAGCACTCCTGTCCCACCTCATCCCACCCTGGTAAGGCCTGTTCTGAGCCTCCTGTGGTCCAGCCATGTCCTGTGCCTAGACAGGGACATCCCCCAGGGGCCCAGTGCCAGGAAGGTGCCTGTCTGCTGGCAGCAGGGTCTGTGTGGGGACAGGACCTCTCCTGCTGCTGCCGCTGTCCCAGACACCTGGGCTGTGTTCCAGCGGTGGGAGGGGAGCAGGTTTTTTGTATAGACCTTGTTTTGTTCCCTGGCCTTTTAGCTAGAAGCAAGTGAGACTAGGGGGCATCCAAACCGCAGGGTCCTTGGGCCCTGGGCTTGCACGTAGGATGCAAGCCACAGATTTAGGGAGTATCTGAAGGTCTGGGAAGGAGGATACTTGCCCAGTGATAGAGCCACACAAACTTGAACAATTGAGCTCTGCTCAGTCAGAATTTGGAGCTTGACGCGGGCTTTGCCCACTAGAATTTGGCACAGAGTTGACCCTTGAAATGGGGGGTGGCGGGACAGAGGAGCAGGGTCAGGAGGTCTGGAGCAGGGAGTCAGGACGCCCAGCTCTCTCCCGCTCTGAGCACAGGGGGCATGGGGCCTGGTGGGCCAGAGCAGGGCCAGCAGGGAACCAGGACACCGGGGTCCTCCCCCAGCGGGTTGGTCAGTCAGAGCAGTGCGGGGACCGGGAGACAGAGCAAGGGGAGAGAAAAGTCGTTCCCGGGAGCTGGCGCGGGTTGTCTGGACAAGAGATGTGCAGCTCTGGGCATCGCTGCCAGGCCCCGTGGAGCTGGGGTCGGAGGGCCCAGACGCCTGGGCTCTGCCCCCTCCTGCACCATCCTCTCCGTCCCTCCCTGTGCCCGTCCCCGGGCTCCTGCCTCCCGCACGGGCCCTCCCGGGACGGAGCGGCGGGCTCCGGACGGGGCGGCTCCCGGGCAGGGCTGCCCC